CAGCAACCCCGTCCGTCCCCTCCGCCTCCCAAACATACCCCGACCCCCACTCCAAGTAGCCCCCGACTGCTTCCTTACTCATCCACCTCCCACCACTGGCCCCGTACCCAGGAAGCAGAACAAACCTCCGAAAAGGGGACACCAAAACTCACCACTGGCCTCCGCGAGACCCAGAGTAAAATCCCAGATGCCCGCCGTGGTCACAGAGCTGCACACTGTGGCCCCTGGGCCTTCCTGGGCTCTGCTCATGCCCTCCCTGCACCATACTCTCAGCCCTGGAGGTCTCCCTGGGCCCAGGCCCCCCGAGTCTGCATGGCCCACGCGTCGTGACGCGACTCAGACCTCAGACCTATTTACCCACAGGAACAGGGTCTGCTCACACTGCACAGAGCCCACGGTCTCTTCCCAGCGCCTGGCACCTGGCTGGCACTCAGGAAACCTGCTGACTGCACGGAGAACAAGTGCAGAGGGAAACCCAGCCAGCCGCCCAGGCACAGTGACCTCCTCAGACCTGGCAATGAAGCCAGGGTGGAGGCCTCTCTGATGGAGCGCCAGGGCCGACCGTGAGCCAGGGAAAGGCCAAGCTGAGGCAGCAGAGAGGATCAGGCACTCAGCAGCCAAGCAGGTTTCACACACAGGGGCCAATGAAAGAAAACAGGGCCACTGCAAGGAGCCAGCTCCCCTGGGCAATGCCCAGGTTTCCTCAGGGCAGGGCCCTCTTCAGTTCCACAGCACCTGAGAGCACATCTCTGCTGAGGATCTTTCTCACCTCGCACACCAAACTGAAAAGGGGCCCTGGAACCTCACTGTGCATCCTGTTTTCTGCAGGAATTCAGTCTTAGCTGGCTAAAGTCGTACGTGTCTGCAATCCCGGAACTTGGGAGGCTGAGGCAGGAGGATTAGTTCAAGGCTGAGTTCAGTCAGGACTACACTGTGAATTCAAAACCACCCAGGAATGGTGGCACATGCCTGTAATCCCAGCCATTGGGAAGCTAAGGCAGGAGGACTGCCAGGACCTCAAGGTCAGCCTGGGTATAGTGAGTTCAAGACCAGCTTGAATTAGAGAGCAAAGACCTGTCTCCGAACAAAACAAACGACTCAGGAAGTTAAGCTTGCTTCAACCCTGCTCTGATTTAATGATCCCTGCGCCCAAGACTAAACCGAAACTGAGACGTTGAGGTTTGCAATCTCTTAGGACAGCAGAGAACTGCCTGGCGCACGGTAAGGGCCACACAAATGCTGCCACTTAGCCTCAGAGCCATCACTGCCGTCTCCATGCTGCTCCCCCACAGCTCACAACCACTTTCTGGACTGGGAACGCCACGCCGTCCGGAACTTAAGACACCAGCGCAGCTAGCCATGGTGACGGCAGGGCTGGCTCAGGGTCACACGCAGCAGAGCGCGGACGGCACTCCTCTCCCATGCACTGTCTCCCCCTCCACTGCCCGCCGTGTCCTTACCCACGCAGCCGATGGTCACCACCCCATCCTTGTAGCGCTCCCGGGATGGGCCGGTTGGCTCCAGGGCGGAGTCCGTCTGCTGCTCCACCAGGACGGCCAGCCCGTCCTCCTCGTCCTCCTCGTCCCCGGAGCCACTGCCCCAGGTGGCCCCAGCCACGTCCCGGGCAATCTTCTCCCGCCAGCTGCTCAGGTCCACTGCTCAGAGGAAAGAGAAGGGGGCCCCGCCTCTGCAGGTGACCGCAGTATCAACCTGCACAGCTGTGGCCAGGCTGTCCCGGCTCCACCCCACCACCGTGGAGTCTGTCCGGGACTCTGTCTCACCGGCCGGCCGCTCCTGACACTGCCCTTGGGAAAGCCAAGCAAAGCGGCTCCCAGAACCTCCACCACCCACCTTTCCCTGCAGTGATGGCCTCACAGGCTCTCAGCAGCTGCTCCGGCCCCAGGGCCCGAGTCCATCCTCTGCCCCGCCTCCGACTCCTCTTCAAGACTGGGATCAGAGGGCGCAGAGGGTCGGCACCCAGCAGTGTCCGACGCTCCCCGCACAGGGCCCACAGGGACCCATCTCCCTGTCCCCACCGGCCCCTCGCCCACCCGACCCTCCTCGTCCTCACCACTACCAGGCTCATGTGAGGCACAGGGATCCCGAGGAAAAGAGGTGAACAGGACGACGTGGAGCTGGGGGAAGTGTTGGTGGAAATAATGCTTCCAGGCGACGACGAGCGCGGGCGGGGCCAGGTCCACCTTGTTCAGGACCAGCACCAGCGCCAGCCCAAGCTCCCCCGTCACGTACTCGTAAAGCGCTGGTGGGAAGTTCACAACCTGGCAAGGGGTTGGGAAACATGGAGCAAGGAGACATCGGCAGAGCGCTGCCTCCACCTCCGCACTCCTCAGGCGCAGCTCAGACACAGTGGCAGACTCTGGACTGAGCAAAGAAAAGCAGCCCCACCAGCAAGGAAGGTAAAGCAAGGCTGAGCAAGGCCTGCACGCATCCTGGAGGGCTTCCCACAGGTGCAGACGAGAAACAAAACGAACCAAGGGTCAGGAAACGATGACACTGGTGCAGGGATGCCAGGGGGGCTCAGGAGGGAAGTGGAGACTGGATAAAAATACTACTGTTCCCAAGTGTGCATAGGAGCGCGTGAGCAAGTGCACACGTGTGACCTGAACACGAGCGTGTGTGAATGCACCTGCGTGGGTACACGTGCACATCTGCGTACACTCACTGGCGACCGCCAACTTGGATGTCCCCAGACTTGCCTTCCTCCCACTGCAGGATTCACAAGGCAGCCCAGCGGCAGCCCAGCCTTCACACGACCCTGGCACTCAGTGGAGTGGGCAGCCGCACAGGGCCGGGCCAGAGATGAGGGGCAGGAAAGGGCATGGCCGGGCTGAGCAGGGACAAGCCCCAGCTGCCCTCAGCAAATCCAGGAAGTCCCACAGGCCGGGACTGTCTATGGCCTAGTTCTGGGAGGCTGGGAGATGGGACTTGCAGGTTTTCATCAAAGACTGCAAGGAGAGCCAACTGACCAGAGGACAGGACACGAGGACAACGACAAGTAAGTAAAAGACATCAACACAGGGTAAAGGAAGCAGAGCAGAAAGAGAGAAGGGCAACTCTCCATCTTCCCACTCCTGCCCCTGACCCCCAAGAACCTTCCACTCACAGGATGTCGGATGTCAGTAACAAGCAGGACCACATCCGACATCTCCAACACACGCCACAGCTGCCTCCACGTCTGCAGAGACACAAGACCAGCGGGAGAGACCCTGAGCCCGGGTCACTCTTCAGCCCGACTCAGGCCCAGCTGCACGTGGATCCCAAGAGCCCGCCCGTCCCAACTCCATCACCTCCAGATTGTGCTCGAAGTGGCTGAGCTTCTCCGAAGTGTAAGCCCCGTGTATTTTCCCAAGATACTCCTGGAAGCTCCGCTCCTCCTGGCTCATCAGCTGCTCTTTGGACATCTCATAACTCCAAGGCGGGCGTCGAGGAAAGTCCAGGACTGAGGAGTCAGAGGAGGTGCCGGTGTCACGGTCCAAGTGTGCACCCCAGATCCCTCCTCCTGGGTCTCCTCTCGCCCTGGACTCCTCTCCCAGGCGCACCTGACCCGGGCTGATAGACCTCCCGGATGTCCAGCTCCAGCACCTCCGCACTGACAGGCTGCAGCACTTGCTCCCGGGCCGCCTTCTTCCTCCTCTCCACCTCCTCCCGACTGTCCCGTTCAAAATGCAGCCGGTACCTACGACAGACAGGGACCACGCATCGGGCGGAAGCCTGTGCCACACAGGCGACCTCCCAAAGCTTTCTCTGCGAGTCATTCCAGCCTGCCCTCATCAGCCAGACTCCCTGCAGCCCTTCGGAAGACAGGCCGACGCCCCCCCCCCCGGGCCCGCAAGAGCTACCCAGAAAAATTCCATTGGGGAAGATAATGAAAGAAGACGACAGAGATCCATGTAGCCAAAGCGAGGGTAAAGCTTCAGGCAGGACACACAATCAATGCTGAACATGTGCTCTGAATGAAAGAATGAATGAATGAATGAACCAATAGATGAGATGAACCATAATCACTGGATAGAAACTTAAAAGTATACATTTGTCTCAATATTAAGAAAGAACTCCTTGAAATTCCATACTGTCCAGAATGGATCATTTCTTTCTTGTTAAGATTGGCTTTAATGACCATCAAATTAATCAATCATCTCATAAAAATGCTGCAGAGGAAGTATCTGCACCAAGGCTGACATTAGACCACGGTCTGTACTGCAAGGTTCCAATAGTCATGTTTCACGAGTTACTTCCTGGGATGAGGGAAGGCCCAGCACAGTGTATGTTGAGATCTGCTCATCTGTTTAACTAGAGTAGATCTGCTTTTGCTTTTATTATGCATTCATTTGTTATTTCATTTTTTGTTATTTATTAAATACTTATATAAATATTAATGCCTGCTAGGCTCCAAATACTATGCTGATTTCCTCAAATATTTCTTTTGAAACAGTTTTCAGGTTAACAATATTCAAATGCTACTAGAACTCTTAAAACCTTAAGGCTCGGACACTTTCCCAAGCTGAGATAGTAAGCACTGAGCTCTGTTGTGTATATGGTGTCCACCAGTCCCACTGCTGGCCCATGGCTGTCTCCCTACAGAAGGGGGAGGGTAAATGAGGGGAACCTCATGGTCATTAATGGGTGGTGGAAGAGGGACATATCTGTCAAGGCTCTTGGAGAAACACTTCCTGTTTATTCTAATATTCATAACAACTCTGATAAAGAGTTTACAGATAAAAAGAAGGGCCTTGGAATATTAATGATTTGTCCACATTCATAAACATGATACATCTGGATTTGAACCCCAGCCTCTGCTGCCAATGCCCTTCTGTTTCCACTGCACTTGGGAATGCTCAGATATTGGCCAGCTTGTGTGCTGCTTGGTCTTTAAAATGCAGCGTGAACTTGGTAAGAGTGCTGCATTCATGAGTGGATGGCAGCAAAAGACAGATGTGCTAAGGTATCTGGAGAAGGTCTGGCTAGGGCAACCTCGATGCCAAGGGCTGGAGACAAGGAGCCCTGAGATGGGCCTTTTATATGAATTCTTCATGTGGATTAATAGCGTTCAAGTCCTGGATACCAAACTCTTGGAAGAAATTTGAGAAGAACCAATGACTATCTACTCCTTGTAACTACTTCATTTCTTTTTCAACCCATAGGATGAAATATCCCAGCTCTGCTAAAACAGAAGAGTAGTGTGTTTCAGAATGAATGAGCTTGAGAAGAGAAACTTCAGGAGGCTGAATTTTGCTCAATTTCCAATCAGACAGAAGGCAGGTGGGGACATCTGTGAGCACACAGCAGCCTCACGAGGGTTGGGGTGGGTATGGGAGAAGTAATAGAAGGTGGCGACAGCAGCAGCAGCCGCCGCCGCCGCAGCAGCAGCAGCCCCCCCTGCCCGATCGGGAAGAGACTGGAGACGAGGAGGACGAGAGTCCCATCGGTGAGGGGCCGGGAAGGGTGTGCGCAGGCTTGACAGCCGGCCCGGCGAGGGCTGGGGGCTGATGAGGTGTGGGGCAGGGGCCAGCGGAAGGAGGAAGGCCCTGGGGCCGGGACGGGGGGCTGCTCGGGATGGACCCTCGAATGAGTTCTCTTACTTGAACCCTCAACCTCGGTCCGGCCCCAAACCTTTCTAGACGAGGAGAAGATAAAGAGCTCGTATGCGCAGCCGCACAATTGCAGGGAAGGGGGCAGTAGAGCTATTACAGATTGCGATGGTTGAGATGACAATTTGTGACCACTCTGTCACTGGGAAGGTGGAAGTGCAGACTTCTCTAAACTACTCCCCCAAGCAAAGGAGAGGAGGAAAGAAGTGTCTGATTGGCCAGCAGTTAAGGTGAGAGATTGGATTGTTTCTGGCATCACCTGGGGTGTTATGGGTAGTGTAAGGGAAAGTTGTCGGTGCCCTTCTTGCTGTCAGTACCTTTCCTGCATTACCGCGTCTCTACTTTTTGCTAAGCTTCAAACAGCTTTGCAGAGGAAAGGGCAGGTAGATGGGGTGAGAATTTGTATTACTGCTGAGACTACAACTGGCTTTCTGTACTGGTTGTATTATGCATAAGTAATGGAATAAATACAACTAAAAGGGTGATCATCAGTACTTTCATTCTCACCGCCATGTTTCATGTCTGTTCTTAGGACCACCCAGCCTTCTGGGCTCTCCCCCCATGGCCAATGGAAAGCCTGGTGATCCCAAGTCAGGTGAGAAGGGAAGGGGCCCAGATCCTTGTTTTAGGTCCTGGAGGAGGGAGCAAAGAAGCAAGGAAAAGATTGGGGATTCTCTACCTAAATGGATGGAGAGAAGTTGTACAGTCATGGGTTTGAAAGGTGTAAAACTGTTGCTTCTTCCCAAATCCATCGGTACATCTAGTGCATTCCTAGTCAGAATCCTTGTGATGTTTTTGTAGAAATAAACATTCTTTGTTTTTATGAAGAGGACCTAGATGAGAAACTGCGAAGATATTGTTAAAGTAGGAAAGCATATGTGAATATCAACACTTGTAGGAAAGCTACACTGACTGTGACAGTCTGGGTTTTCACACAATAATAAACTCATACATCAAAACAGCTTAAAGAGTTGAGAGTCAGAAGCCCACAGATGTACAGACATTTCGTTTATATGAAAACAGAACTGAAAAAGTGGTCTTTCCACTAAGCTGCTGGATTAAACATTCATGTAAAAATGAAATCTGACCTAGTCACACAAGATGGAAATGTCACTTTAACTGGACTGTAGATCTAAGTGTAAAAGAACAGTTTTTCTAGGAGGTAAATGTAGTTTCATGGTCTTAGTAATCTAAAACTTGCTGAAGAAATATACGTATGCTATAAAGAAAAGATTAACGGGGCCGGGGATTTAGCTCAGTGGTTCGGCCGCCTGCCTTGCAAGCACAGGGTCCTGAGATGGGCTGAGGATTAAACGTGGTGGTGTAAACTTGGGTTCAATCCCTAGTACTGAGGGAGAAAAAGTAACAAATACAACTAATATCTATAATCTAAAATACGTGAACAAGTTCTCCAGACCATCCATTGAAAAAACTGACAAAAGACCAGGACAATTTATAAAAAGTATCAAAATGGACCGAAAACAGGTGAACAAGTACTCAATATTAATCATCAAATAAATGCAAGATAAAAACACTACTTTAAAATTGAAACTCCTGGGCTGATGATTTAGCTCAGTGGTTCTGCTGCCTGCCTCGCAAGCGCAAGGGCCCAAGTTCGATCCCCAATACCAAAAACAAAAAAAAAATTGAAACTGCTGTTCCCTTTGGATAGGATTATTACATGAGATAATCACTAAGGAGGCTGAGGCTGAGGCAGGCAGGAGGATTGAGGCAAGTATGAGGCCCGACTGGGCTACAAAAGCAAGACCCTATCTCAACCAAAAAGAAGAATTAAAATTCGAACCACCTTTTCATTCAGCTGTCTCACTTCTAGGTATATATTCAGAGAATTGAAAGCATGATCTGGAAGAGCTTTGGGCGGGGGTGAGGTCCTGAGGAGAGAACCCAGGGCCTTCACACTGAGCTATATTCTCGGGCCTTTATATTTTTTCATTTTTTTATTGTTTTTAATTTTGAGACAAGGTCTTACTAAGTTGCCTCAGCTGGGCTCAAACTTGCAGTGCTCCAGTCTGTCTTTCAGAGTGCTGGGATTGCAGGTGTGCCAGCCACCATGGCAGCTGGAGAGATTTGTGTGCTCATGTTTTTAGGAGCACTGTCCTCAAATACCCAAAAGTGAGTGCCACCAAATATCCATTGATAGAATAAATAAACAAAATGTGCACGTTCAGTGAAATAAATGTTCAGCCTAATGAAGGAAGAAAATGCTGTCACGTATTCAAACGTGGATGAACCTTGAGAACAGTATGCTAAATGAGATAAAAAGTAAGAGTGATTTATTCAAAGCATCTAGTGTAAAACTCAAAAGCAAAGGAACCGGGCCCCAGAGGCTGGGTGAAAGGGTGTGGAGGAAGGGGAGTTGTTCAGTGGATACAGTTTCAGTTTTGCAAGTTCTAAGGATCTGTTTCACAACATGATATACTTAAAACTCCTGAACTGTAAATTTAAGAGTTAAGATTGGCCAGTCATAGTGGCGTACACCTATGACCCCAGTGCTGGAGACTGAGGCAGGACCATCACAAGTTTCAGTGCCAGCCTAAACTACATAGTGAGACCTTGTCTTAAAAAAGTCAAGATGATAAATTTTTTATGTTCTATTTTTTTCTTATAATAAAAAATTTATCAGGGGGCCAGAGATTTAGCTCAGTGGCACCATGTCTGCCTCGCAGGCGTAAGATCATGAGTTTGATCCCCAATACAAAAAAAAAAAAAAAAAAAAAAACTTACACAAGAGAATGGCAGAATGACAAAGACTGCCAACCACTTTGGGTTTGTTTTGTTTGAGTTTTTGGTTTGTTTGTTTTTGCACCCGGGATTGAACTTGGGACCTTGTGCTTGTGAGCCACTTGGTTTTTTTCAGACAGGGCTTCACTGCGTAGTTCAGTCTGGCCTTGAACTCCTGGTGATTGTCCTGCCACAGCCTCCCAAGAGCTGGGATTACAGGTGTGCGCCACCACACCCAGCCTTGACAACCACTTTGAAACAAGGTCTGATGTTACTTAAGTTTGAACTAATATGCCCTCTGACCCAGCAATTCCTTTACTCATATATACTGAAATACATACATAGGTATAACATGAATTAAAACATTCGCGGCAGCATTTCTTGTGGCCCCAAACTGGTAGCCATCCACATGTCCCTCATCAGTGGTAACTCAGGTGTTCATGTGCATGGCGTGGGATGATGATGTTGAGTGAAGGGGGCCAGACAGACAGACTGATTCCATTTACACAATGTTCAAAACAGACAAACCTGTGATGTTAGAAGTCAGAATATTGGTTACCTTTGGAACAGGGAGTTGGGGGCACAGGAGTAAGTCTCAGAAGCGTTCATAAGGCTCTAACTCTTCACCTGGCTGTTTTTATTTTGTAATAATTGAGCTGTACACTTAAATAGGTACTGTACATCTGTATGTGCTGCACTGTGATTAAAAAGAGTAGCTGTGGCGCACACCTGCAATCCCAACAGTCTTAAGAGATTGAGACAGGAGGATCCCAAGTGCGAGCCCAGCCTGGGCAGCTTAGCAAGACCCTGTCTCAAAAAATAATAAGGGCCAGGATGCAGCTAGTGCAGAGGCCTGGGTTCAACCCCAGTACTGGAAAAATCAAGACTTATATGTCGGGATGAAGCTGCCTGTATCACCTTTCTGTGTCTCTCTCTAGCCCTTCACAGAGGTCCTCCAGGATCCAGGGGACCAATGATCCCACCACTGCTGAGCCTCCCCCCTCCTCCCAGGGGAAGAGGCCCATTTCGGGGAGGCCTTGGCCCCAGGTCTAGTCCGTATGGTCGTGGTTGGTGGGGGGTCAATGCAGAACCTCCCTTTCCGGGGCCAGGCCACGGGGGTCCCTTCCGGGAAAGCTTTCATAAAGAGCACAGAAGCCCGAGAAGGCTCAGAAGCTGGTCTCTCGTCAAGAACTCCTGCCCACCTCCGGATGGCGCCCAGGCCGTGCAAGGTGAGGTCCACGTTTACGCTTTGTAGCCTTCGTGCCGCCCTCCCTCAGTGGCCTAACTCCCAGGGTACCCAGGACTCCTTTCCTTTTGGGCAGCCCTGCCGCCCCACCGCGAGCTAGGGATGGAATCCTAGGCCTTGGCATAGGATCATGCTTAGGCTGTGCCCTGCGACCCCTCAGCTGCCTTCAGGGCCCTGGGTTCCGTCCCTAGCACCACCACCCTTCCCCCCAAAGAGAAACTGGAGATGACGGGGTAGCAAATCTGCTTTATCTCTGCTTTTCATTTCCATTGTCATCTTGCTCGGATTTTAAACTGCCCGATTTTAACTCATCCACAGACAAATCCAACCGCCCTGTCTGTCGACACTTTTCCAAAAAGGGCCACTGCCGATACGAGGACCTCTGTGCCTTCTACCACCCGGGGGCCAATGGACCTCCTCTGTGAGACTGTGCCTTCCCTTCCAGGCCAGGAGGTGTCCCCCGTGGCCTCCCTGTGGCTCTGTGATGGAACTGTGAGGCTCCTCCGCCCTGCACCCTTGTTGGTGAAAGTCCAGCCCCTCTCCCTCCGTGTGGGGTCGAGTTGTGTTTGGTCACTGGTGCACAGTGCATGCCATCCTGACTCGGCCTCCAGGGACTCGCCTGGGGACCCCCACGCTCCCCCTTCGACTGCCTCCTAGACCCCGCTCTGCCAAGTGACTGCTGAACAGGAAACTCCTGGTGCTGTTTCTTGTGCATCTGTCCACTGTTGCCCTCCATTCCTAAGAGCTGCTTGTCCGGAGTCGTCTTCCTGTGACACCAGTGTTTCCAGCTGCTCGGGACGCGCCCGGGGCGTCTAACCCAGTCCAGTTTGGTGGCTGGTACAGGGCCGCTCCCCCACCTCTGGACTAGTTTCTCTGTCGGTAGCATGGTCCCCGCCACTCTGGTCTGTGATCACTGTGCTTCGTGAAGCTGTGTGTCCCCTCGTAGCCTCAGTGTTCGTGACTTCCCAACACTAGACTAAGGTTTTCTGCCAAAATGAGGGAGGATCCCAGTGCCCTCGACTGTCCCCACCTCCCAACACGGGAGGACTCTGCAGTTCGCAGGCTGCCTCCGTGTCCCCGTTCTTTTCCTGGTGTTGGTTATTCCCAGTCTGACACAAGCCTCAGCCTGGCCACCCGGCCTGTCTCTGGGTGGACACTGGACAGTGTTGTCACCCTGTTCGGACCCTCCTTCCTCACACCCCTGGCGTGGTTGTTTTCTGTGAAAACGGCAGGGAATGGGTTCAGTTCTAAGCTGGCCCAAAACAGATGGGTCAGGAGTCTTGGGGGCCAGAGGGAGGTACGGGAGCCTCTGGAGAACTGAGAATGAGGTGTTTTGTTGTTGTTTTGGGGTTTTTTTAAACATTTTTTTTATATTAGTAATAAACGGTAAAAACTAGCATTTTCTTTCATCTGCATTCCAGTCATCCCTGGAGGTCCAGATGAGGCTACGCTCCACAGATGGCTCATTCCTCGTTTAGTTCAGATGGTGGTCATGGGCAATGGCAACACCTGAGTCTCCTCCAGCCTGCAGACCGGCACATCCGACAGCCAGCAGGCCCAGGCTTCGTGGTGTTCAGGGCCAAAGCGTTAACAGAAAGAGGGAAAGCCTGGCTCCTGTGCAATAATTTTAAGTATTTTAACTGTTTATCCCTTTGGTGTTTACTGGAGTAGTTCCAATGAAGCAGTCTTTCAACGAAAATATGTAAAGTTCCAGCTGGGCGTGGTGGCCCAACCTTATAATCCCAGCACTCAAGAGGCTGAGGCAGGAGGATCGCTGGTAGTTCAAGACCACCCTGGGCTACATAGTTCCACATCAGTCTCAACTACATAGTGAGACCCTGTCTTAAAAAAAAAAAAAAAAAAAGTAAAGTTCCAACAGGCCAGCTATATACTAGACACAGGATGACAGCTAAATCAGTGCCTTTGTACACTTTTCAGAAGTGCTACGAAGCTGGACATGGTGCATACCTGTGATCCCAGCACTCAGGACGCTGAGGCAGGAGGATTGCCTTGAATTTCAAGGCCAAGCTGGGCTACATAGCAAGCCCTTCTCAAAAAAACAAAGTACTATAAAAATGCACAGTGCAAGGCAAGAACATAGTGGGAGTTGAGCCAGGCATGGGATGCAGGTCTGTAGTTGCAGCTCTCTGGAAGGCTGAGTCTGAAGGATCACAAGTTCAAGCACAACCTAGGAACTTTGAATAATCGAGACCCTATCAAAAAATTGTTTTAAGCCGGGCGTGGTGGCACACCTGTAATCCCAGCACTCGGGAGGCTGAGGCAGGAGGATCGCTGTAAAAAAAAATTTTTTTGTTTTAAAGGGGGTGTAGGTAAACTAGAAAAGGAGGGAGAGAGGAAGTAGAGGGAAGAGCAATTAGTCAGGGCTTTGCACAGCATAAGGATCTGGGTCTTGAAGGAAGTAGGTCTGAGTTTCAGGCAAGTGGGATCATGGGTTAGGCTGAGTTTTCAAAGCAGATCAGGTTATGGGGAGGAAGCCACTAATTTGCTCTGGGGATGATTGACACCTTTAAGGCCTTCAGGCAGAGATGAGATGATCAGCAAATAAATATGATGGGTGTTTAAATTTTAAAGTTATTACAGTAGGAGACATTGCCATTAATCCATGTCAGAGTGGTCCCCCTTGATTCAAACATGTACTTTCCAAAGCAGTTTACATTTATGGCAATTTCTGTCAAAAACATTACGGTGTTTCCTCATCCACTCTATTCACCAGATCTGGCACTGTGTGACTTCTGGCGCTGCCCGCTAAGTCAAAAGGAACATAAGAGGTGAACATTTTAAGTCAGTTCAGGACATCAGGCAGCTATGACAGGAGAACCAAAGATACGGAGGAGAAGGGCTTCCAGACCACTTCAGAAATGACGACAGTGGGCTGTGTTCAAGCTTGCAGGGTATTTTGAGGGAGATTAGTGGCAGCGTGTCTTGTGTAGTGAGTTTTTTAAACATTAGCCTTGTATTTTGCTCACATCTCATACATAAACTAGGTAGGCATACACTCTTCTGTGTGTACATTTTTTTCCCCAGTTTTTGAGACAGTCTCACTATGTGGTTCAGGCTGGCCTTGAATTCACAGTGATCCTCCTGCCTCAACCTCCAAATGCTGGAATTATAGCTCTGCACCACCATGCCTAGTTTAAATGTACAAGTTTTGATACTAAGATTAAAACTAGGAACAAATCTGAGTTACTTGGATGTGGGTGTGGTTGAAGGCAGGTCCATGGTTATATTTCTTCACTCTTCAGTGTTAAGCACCTACCACGTCTCACTTTATCAGGTTTAAATATGGTTGTAACAAACCGGGGTTTTTTTGTTTTTTTTTTTTGGTACTGGGGATCAAACTCAGGACCTAGCGCTTGCCAGACAGGTCCTCTGCTGCTGGGCTAAATCCCCAGCCCTAGAAGCCCAAGGTTTTAAACTAGAAGTTTATTTCTCTCACAGAAACAGTCCAAGCTGGGGGTATGTGCCTGTCATCCTGGTCCTCTGGGAGGCTAAGGCAGGAGCATCTTAGGTTGGAGCCCATCCTTGTGAACTCAGCAACTGAAAGAATCTGGGGTGTAGCTCAATATGAAGGCCTTGGGTTCAATACTTAACACTACAAAAAAAAAAGTCCAGGATGTTCAAGAACTGTGGCATCCCAGGACCACCAGCTATTTGGAATCCAAAGCCCCAGCTTCAGCTCCATAGTCTATAGCCACACGTCTTCAAACTTGGGGCAAAGGACAGGAGACAAATTGCCCTCGAAGGATTTTCCTGAGTTAGCGTGCAACTCTAGTCCATGTTCCACTGGCTCTAATTGCCCTGTGGCCTGTACTTACTTAGCTCTTGCAAAAGTACTTTGCTCAGCAACCATGTGCTGAGCACACCGTCAGGCTGTTGGCTGGTAAGAATGTTAGGCTACAGGCACGGCGTCTGCCTGCCACTTCACTGCTGACATTTGGGGACACAACAGAGAAGACCTTGTGGATTCCCCACAAGGCACTGCCAGGCACGCATCTAGGGTCCAAACCACTTACCAGCTCCCACGAGTATTTCATTAGGAAACAGGACTCACAAGGTGAGGGTTTATGTTAGGGTAATTCAAAGATTAGAGAATTGTTCTGTCAAGAGGTAGGGGCAATGAATGTGGTGGTACACACTTGTATCCCTATACTGAGAGGCTGAGGCAGGATGATCACAAGTTCAATACTAGCCTGGGCAATTTAGCAACTTAGCAAGATCCTGTCTCAAAATAAGGGCTGGGGATGCAGTTCACTGCAAAGGCCTGAGGCTCAGTGGGCTAAGCCCCCAATATGAAAACCTTGAAAAAGGAGTAGGACAAATTGGGTGTGGTGACACGTGCCCATAACCCAACGTTCTGGGAGGCAGAGACAGGAAGGTTGCAAGGGTGAGCCCAGCCTGGGCAAATGGCAACTTGGCAAGACCCTGACTCAAAATTTTTTTAAAGATCTGGGAAGGGTCAGGGATTTGGCTCAATGATCCCACTGCCCACCTCGCAAGCGCAAGGGCCTGAGTTCGATCCCTGGTACCAAAAAAAAAAAAAAATCATGAAACAATGAATTTAAACATACTTGACACATTACAGTCCACTGCAAAGGCTGAATTTGCCCCTCCAGCCCCTTAAAAAGCGCTAATCCCCCCATGAAGATGGACCCTTATGGGCCAGTGATTTAGCTCAGAGGCACCTCACCTGCTTCACAAGGTCCTGAGTTCAAACACTGACACCACAAAAAAAAAAAAAAAAAAAAAAAAGATGGGCCCGCTTGATACAATCCCTACCCAAAGGCCCCACCTCCCAGTATGGTTACCTCAGGAAATTAATCTCAGGACTTTAGCAGGACTGAACATTCAAACCATAGCAGCTATTTGTGATACAGAAGCACATTAGGTCTGTTTTGTGTTTTGAGTCAGGGTCCATCGTGTGGCCCCTAAACCCACCATGTAGCTCAGGCTGGCCTGACTTGTGGCCATCCTGTTTCAGCCTCCAAGAGCAGGGATTACAAGTGCCATCGTACCCAGCTAAAGCACATTAGATACCTGAACTGCTGCATTCCCCGGTGCCACAAAGAAGAGGCAGGAACACTATGAACAGCCAACAACAAGAAAGTATGAACAACTGTGAACAAAAACAAGAAATAGTGGGTATTGGGCTTGGGATGGAATTCAGCAGGGCAACATCTGTCTGGCAAGCTCAAGGCTCTGAGTTCAATTCCTGATACATTAAAAAAAAAAAGACCAAAAAGAAATAGAAGATAATTACAATTGACCCTACAGAAATGAGAAGTCTAAGAGTGCCACACTTCTGTGCTGGCAAACCACGTAGCTTGCTCAAAATGAACAAGTTTCTGTGAGGATAGAAACTGACACCAAGAACAGGCCTGGCCATGGTCTGAGCACGTCAAGTGTCCTCAGTGTGTGTTGCACACTTGGTGCTCGGGAGGTGATGTTAAGAGGGTGGGGGCTACGTCTAGGGGCATCACCCCCCCAGAGAGATTAAGGAGATCTGCAAGAGATGCCAATTAATTTTTGTGAGTGGGCTGTCAGCCACACTAAGCCAGCTGGACGATCCTTCTCGGGTGGGTCTGGCCAGGTGATCCCCGATGAGGGGTCTGGTTCCAGCTTCAGGTAGCTGACAGGGTGGCCGGGTCCTTATTTCCCAGGATCTGCATGGGAACCTTGTAAACTGAAGGTGTGGTGGTGGCCAAGGACCCCACCACTGAAGCACACAAGCACTCCAATCCCATGGAATCCGGGAAGTGCACGTTTCAATTTACTTTGGTAGGTAGGAAATTTGTAAAAAGAATAATAGTTGGGAACAGGTAAGGAGAAACAGGTGGGGCCCTCTCTACCCAACTCCTGTCCTCCCAGCACCAGGCTTCCAGCTGCCCTAGTGCAACCCCTGCCACTCCCGTCCACCCAAGCTGCCCTCCCGCTGCCTGGTACTATCGGTCTTACTCCTGCTGCCTAATGGACATTTTTCTTTTTTTATATGCGGTACTGGAGATCGAACTCAGGACTTTGCACTTGACAGGCAGGCAGTGGCACCACTGAGCTAAATCCCTGGCCTCTAATTGACATTTTAAAGGAATCACAGGTTTCCACTGGTGCTGGGCAAAACACCCAAATTCAGAACACAGGAACAAAAGCGTATTTTGCCGGGCTTTTCAAAACCTTCCACCTGCAGTGCTTGTGTCTGACATGAGCAGCATGTTCTCCCTTGTGATGGCCAGTACTTTCTCCCACTTGGCACACATGTCCCCAGCTTCCACGAGGCAGGTCGCCCTTTAACTGCGCCCCGGTGTTACCTGTGTAAAGCCTGAGAGGCGAGTCCAGGGTCCTAACCCACTACGGGACAGGGCCCTCAGGCCCTGGGCTGCTGGGGACCTGGGTTTTCTG